TTTTTCAGGGTAATTAAATGTACAAAACTCAAATCATTTTTTAGAGTAAAAACAATGTTCTGCATTTGACATATCAATCCAAAAAGCAGGAACAAAATCACTTTTGGCTTACTTGGACTACTATTGGTGCGCAAATTTTGAATTACGGTTTTTTTTGAAAGATCTTTTTTTAACGAATGATTTTGAGGTTGTGGAGGAAAGCTGATCTCACCGTCGAATATATCAGCCAATATCAACTATATGGATCGCGACTCCAGTCAACTAGAATGTGCTTGGCAGATCAAGGTGGAGTTGCAGCTCCCTTGATTTTCACTTTTCATGGCTTTGCAGAAAATAATCAGTTTATTAATCCGAACGTAACTTCAGGCACCTATAGGCAAACGAGTTCTTCTCATTGTGGATACCTTGGCCATATTCCAGAAGACTGAAGCCAGCTGCCAATACAACAACGATGAGAAGGAGGAGTTTGCTGGGATGGCGGTTAGTTATATGTTGGAAAAACAAGAGAAGCATATAGAGGTTTTCTTGTAGATCTTTTCTGGAGCTTCAAATCGCTCAGGATATCCACAGTACACAGCGTGTACGAGTATAAAGAATCTTACCTACAGATCACATACAAATGAGTTATTCTTGTTGTTAAAGGTATTTTGTCCAAAAATTTGTAACTTTTTACTCGATCGTAAACGCATAATCCTTTAGTACTCTATGAAATCAGTAATGCCAGATGGTGAAGGCTACTTTTTCCTCGCTAATGTCACATTTACTGATGCGGACATCAATAATCGAGATGAGTGTGGAGGAGTTGTCGAAGGTATCTTTAACTTCAGATATTTGCACAAAGCTTCATCACATAAACAGACGTGGGATGTTTTTGCTTTCATCTCTAGATTGAAGATGTTCTTTGACCTATTTGAAAACCATTGGATTTAATGGGTTACTTACTGTATGGTAATGTAACCAAAATGCGTTTTTCCAAACTTAGAACTTCCATCTAGGCTCAAATCGTTAATTGACAAATATTTTGGTGTAAGCCCATTTCAAATCTTTGAATTATTTACTCTTCTTTTTAGTCTCCTCCGCACAACCGTCTGTCATTCACTCTCCGCGATACCCAGAAGAATACGAACGGGGTACTGAGTGTCAGTGGTTATTTAAGGTAAGTTCACAACGTTTTTACACAGGCGGCAACTATAAGAACATAATACTTTTAGAGTCCACCTGGCTACTATCTGATCTATAAAATAAAAGAATACATCACACCAAATGCTCATGAACAGCAAACTGAGAAAAAATGGATGCCAAGGGCAATGAACAACTTGACGTAAATTAAAAGTCATTTTGCCAAAGAAGTTTGCTGAAACTTCTTTTCCAGGTGCCAGGATCCTCTTCCACTTATTGAAGGAGCTCTTACCATTTATGGAGGAAACAATACGTACGCCTTTCTGCTTGCGAAAACATCTATGCCTAAGAATTTTGTTGTTTTAGAAACGCGGAGAAGATTGAGCGAATATGTCTGGATATCGAGGAGCCTAAAGAAGTTCCTGTATTCGCGACTGAGGTGAGCAAAGCTTGCATTTTTAGTCAAATTTTACAGTTTATTGAATTTCAGTCTTTGGTTACATTCCGTGGAGCAGCCACAGCGAGGATACACATGACAGGCGAAGATCAGCATTTGAAGAAGGTATTTTTGGTATCTCTTTCTTCTGTGCTTTTGTAATAGAGTTAGATGCGAAGAATTAGAACTTAGCCCTTTTTAGTTTATCAGAAAAGTTCTAAAAATTTGATTCCTGATGTTACCATAGGCCGTAGCTATTTTCGTTGGCTCTCTCATGGTTTAAGCGAATAGCAGGGCTAAAAAGCATCAAAGTCGAAATTTTACAGTATACGTTCCAAGGAGTTCCGCTTATAGGTTGGATTCCTACTCGAGGCTAGAACTGCTTGCGGAGGGTTAGTGCTAGCTGATGATGTGGAAGGTGTCATGACATTCAGTGATTTGGAGGAAGAAGTGTGCAACATAACCATACGCAAAAAAGATGAATGTGATTAATTTCTGATCTCTCCTTGATCGGTCACCTTCGACTTTTGAAAATAGCATTCTAGCTGCATCCGGTATCTATGTCCGCCTGGATGAATTTATTAGCCGTGGAATTACGAAACACCGCAGTAACGATATGATATTTGGCAATAGCTTCATTGATATTCAGATAGATGGTGGTGAAATGTGGGTTGACGCATTGCTTTCCTTCTTTTTTTCTTTATTTTTGATTTTTAGAATGTCCCGGGAAGCCAAAGGACCATACCTTATTGAAACTTCCACAACCCATGAGGAATTCCGCGCCAAAAATGAAATCAAAATCGCTTTTGTGAAGAAGAACTCCTTGCTTGCTGCGAGAGTTGTGATCGCGTACTCAACAGTAATTGACAGTATGTCCACAGTTATAAATCCTTTAGAATTTTTGAAAGAGGAGTCTTTTAGATTGCGGCGGTGAGATCACATCTCGAGAAGGATTCATTAGTATACCAGAAATCGACGGCGATTTTGACTGTGTGTGGACTTTAAGGGAGAATCCTGGCAACGGAGTGAGAGCATCCGTAACGTGAGCTAGTTTCTCAGTTTATCTCAAAATGTTAACATCTGCTTGATACTTTTTTTT